TGATCCGAGGCGGCCAAGGAGAAACAAAGACTGCGTGAATGTCCAATCGAGATGCCACGTAAGCGTAAAGGCGCAGTGCTTACCTTCGGCGTCGCCTTCCTCGTCCTTCACACCCATGATGTTCCCGAGCTGCGTGCCCCCGAGGGCGGCCAGCTTCGCAGCTGCTTTGGCACGTTCCGCCTGTTCGCGCTTCTCCTTGACGAGTGCACTGCCCTTCCGCGAGAAGATGCCATATCGCTGGTGGGATCGCGCACGGGTTGATGGGTTCTAGTTGCTTGGTGAAGACGGTCCGTCCGTCGAGGAAAGGGGGCTTGAGGTCGTGCACCATGACGTGGACTGTTGACTCGGATTCGTCCTCGAAGTCGAGGTCGATCTCCTTCCGCGTAGCGACTCCGGAAGTCACCATTCGGTTCGCCTCCCAAAGATCGTTGTCGGCATTCTGAGGAGCCTCAAGGTCAACATAGAGTCAAGTGTGGGCGAATGAAATTAGGCGTACGTATTGAGCCTGACGCGCCGAGATTTTCTTGACCTGCTTCTTCGCCATCTGCTCCTCCTTGACCGCCGCCAGATCGTCGTACTGCGCCAGGGGGTTGTAGTCTTCGTCGCCGACAACATTACCCTCCTCCGCACCCATGTACCAGTCACGATCCAGACGTGTCTGCTCCTCTTCCCACTCCCGAGCATCCAGACCCAACGCACCGTCACCCTCGTCTGAACCAGGGGAACCACCACGGCGCGGTGTCGGGGCGTCCCACCTCCGGTTGCGCGCGCTCCCGTTGGCCCCCGGAGATCCAGATCGACGAGGAGTGGCGTCCCAAGATGCGTTGGGAATACGGACACTTGGCGCATCGTCTCCGCGTCGGCTACGTTCTGAGCGAGGTGTTGCATCCCAGTCGCGCCGATTGCGGTCGGTCGCGGTCGCGTCACGGTCGCGTCTGTCGTATGGTCGGTCGCGATTGAGGCGGCGCTGGAAGTCACCAAGACCGCGAGGTCCATCGTTCCGAGGCTCGTTCTTCGCCGTGATACCCTCTATCGCACTTCGTTGGCTATGGAAATGCAATGAAGACGGACTCCTGGCGTACCTCTGGTCCGTCGTCGCTCTTCTAGCCTCTGACGAGCAATATCCGACAGTCCTCCCGGATGGGATGGTGTTTCATCGCCACGTTGTCGTAGTTGAGCCGAACGAGAAGCCGGGAGAGACGGAACTGTGGAAGGAGCTCGTATTGGAAAGTGGCGGGAGATAACCTGCGCAGAGCGTACCTTTAAAGACCGGCTCATCCCCGTCTAGTCTAGCCCTCTTCCGACTTCCTTCTTCATTCCCAGCAGCAGCTGCAGCGGCGGCGGCGCGCTTCTCTTGGGCAAGACGGTCAAGACCGAGTACGGAAGATCGAGGGGTTGGGGGTGCAAGTGGCTTGACCGGTTGGCGGAAGGTATGTTTCTAGCGGCCAGGCGTGCGTGAGTTATATAGTTTATCTGCCGGACGGGGCCACTTACCACCTCTTTACGCATAAGACCACCCTGCCTAACCGGCTCGGGCTCGAGAACATCGCTGTCATGGACGACGATGCCTTGAACCGGCTGCGCTGGCTTTCCGGTGGCCTCCTGCTTCTCGTGCGACAAGATCTCTGCATGCAGCTCGGCAAGGAAGGAATCTTTGAACTTGCCAAAAGTTCTCGCAGCTGCGACAAGGAGGAGAATCAGAGACCGTAGTCAATCGCTAGATACATGGATGCGCACCAGAAATGAAGCTGTCTATTGTGTTCGTCTTGGCGATGTCTTGAACGCGCCTGGCGAGGAGGTCGTTCGGGTTGACGATGTTGAGAGCTCGAGAGAGCTCTATGGCAATGTGGTGGGTGAAGTCATCCGTATCGTTGGCAGCAGAGGCCATCGCAGCAAAGGCGAGGGAAGGAGGAGGTTGCAGGAGCCGGTCACCGTGGACCAAGTCCGCGCGACACGGGCGGCATTAGGCGCGCCTCAGCCACAATGCAAACACACGCAAGCAAGCGCTAGTATATAGCCCGAGCTGCGCGAAGTTTTGGGTCTTCAAATGTCATCACCGTCTCCGCTTTAGAGTCACTTGCTTCCCGCTCATCCTCTCAAGGGACATGCAGGCGCTCGCGGGGACGCAGAGCAACACCGTCCGCGGTCTGTCTGTCGGTGGGTGGGAGTTCAGCCTCCTGGCGACGAGGCTGCGGGTGGGACACATACAGAGTCCGTACGTCTTGTGTATCATGTCTATCTAGTAATCTACGACTGTCTGCATTCCATCGTCCGCCGGTTAGGTCTCAGGCTTGTATGTGGCACGGTCTTGCGACAGCCACGACAACACGGCTGTCTCGCCTCGGAGGCTCCTCGAAACGCGCCACCTAGGCTATCGACCAATTTGCTCGCATCTCGTCGCCTGCCGTCAACGTCCCGCGGCTCTGCTTATGGGCCGGTCCGATGTATCGGGACGCCAGCGATACGAGCCTTGCTGGCCGAGCCGCTCGACACCTTCTCCTTGTTCCTCCATGTCCCCCATCGCCCTCGCTGCCTATGAATCCCTCCAGCAGCATGTCACGACACTCCTCCTTCAAGTGGAGACAGAGTCCCATATCTTACCGTGAGTACTTTTTAACCAGTACGCAGTACCCTCTTCTCATGTATTTGGCCTCGAAGAGCCCACTTGGTACGCCAACGAATGTCCGCGTGATATGGCATTCGCCTGACACCCCGTCCAGATGTGGGCCATCCATGCCAGCATCATACAGATCTCGTGCACCCTCCGTCGGAATCATAACGCATCACAGCCGCTCTTCAGACTTCCCGTGGAGGTCCTTCATCAAATCGTCGAGTTTTCTATACCCATGAAGCCGAGCACCTACCCACTTCTCTTGAAGTCGTCCATACGCGACTCCTCCTCCGTCTTACCTCTCAGCCACACGTGCCATCAGCTACGCGCGATGATTCTCAGTCATCGACTGTTGTGGCGAGACGTGAACGGCGATAAGCTCGCAATCACAAGACTCCTTGATCGCAACGCCAACGGCCTACCCCTCCGAATCCGTTCGTTGTTCTCAAACCATACCCCGGGCACACTAAGCGCAATCACGTCGCCGCTTCAAGAGCTCCATCTGGCTGAGATTCATGATCCGCACTTGCAAGATGTCAACACACTCCTCTCCTACCCCCACCCCGCCCTTCGCTCGTTGTCGCTCGGATTTGTGTCGAGTCCGCGTTGGAGGAAGACTCGCAAGAATCTGTGTCTCTCGCCTGCGCATTTCCCTGAGCTACGCCGCCTCTCCCTCCTCGTCGCACCCTTTCAAATCGTCGGCAACTTTGAGTGGTTGACCCATCTCGCTCTCTACGACATCACCCGCGATGATCTTCACGCTGGCGTTGTCGAGTTTATCACCCAATGCCCTTCTCTTCGTCACCTCGCACTGGGCGGCCCGCTGGGTGTACAGCAACCAGCGGAGTTGCCGAGCACTGCCGGAATAGCGGTTCCCGCCATACAGCAAGTCACCCTCCATGGCTTCGACGCCGTAACCGTTCAGTTCTATGTCACCCTCCTCAGCCATGCCGATGGTCCTTCGTTCCACGTCATTGGCTTCAGCGGGAACGATACCTCTTTTACCAGTTCCTTCCTATTCCCCGCCGACGCTCCCGATGTCACCCGCCTCTCCTTCGCCCTCCACCCCGACCGCGAGGGCCGCTTTTGTCAGTACGAGCACTCCCTCTCGCTCACCACCGCCGGCCCCGCTCTTACGCGCCGCCTCGCGACGTACGGCGGTTCCCTCTACCTCCGTGGACTCCCGTCCTGGATGTGGCACTCCCACTGCATCGACCCCGCTATCTCCCCCGGGTTCAACACCATCCGCGAGGTGTGGTTCGAGAACACACAGTCCTCCTACCCCTGGTCCCGCTCGGGCATGCCCCCGTACGCCTCCACGCACACGCTGTTCCCCCGAGCGTCGAGGAGGTCGTCCTCGTCGTCGACCGCTCCCTCCTCCCCTTCGAGACCCCGTCCCTGCACGTCCTCCCCCGCGCGGACGACCGCACGTTCGCCTGCCCGCGCCTCAAGACCGTCCGCATCGCGCACGGCCACCCGCGCGACGCCCACCCGCCGTCGCCCGCCGTCACCGCGCTCGACTTCGGCCCGATGTTCCGCGACCTCGCGTCGGGCGCGTACCGGTACCTCGAGCGCCTGGTGCTGCAGACGACGCCGCTCGTGCAAGTGGCGGACGTGGACCTCGCGCGCCTCCGCGAGCACTTCGTGTCGGTGCGGCACGAGCGCGTGGCGGAGCTGCCGAGGATGGAGATACGCGGAGGGGAGTCGGCGGAGTGGAGGTGCGAGAGCTGGCCGGGTGCGCTGTGGTGAGCGGGTGATTGCGATAGAGGGCTACGACGTCGCTGCTGCTTTGCGTGCGCGCGATAGGATGACCATACCCTGGATACTTACAGCGATTTTAATACGGCATACGGAGATAACGATAGAGAGACTGCGCTAGTCCCGGTACAGCCGGCGTCGGATGCGCGCGTCCTTAGCTAGATGTCATGTAGATGTGGGAGGTCTATATCATCGCACTTGACGGTCGCGCTGACGCTGTGGGACAGACTATTTGGCTGCTCACAAAGGTGCCGGATCCCCCTTCGCCGATCGCAGTCACGGGGTGCGCGAGTCGCTTGCCATGTTGGAAGGTGGAACGACGAGGAAGGACTGCGCCAGCTTCGCGAGGGCGTCTTGAGCAGCGTGAACGTGGATTGAGCAGTGACAGTACTCCGTCCACAGGCTATTTCGGCGTAGCGGAACTCGGGGATATCTTCGGCACCGAATTTTTATTCAGGGCATCGAGCAACCTCGTCGACACCCCGAAGGCGAGCTGGCTTACAGACTCACGCTGCGGTATCCGAAAGATACAGACATAGGCAGCGCACACGCGGACAAAACAACGACTCATGATCGTACAACCGTTCGCGAAGTCCATGAGAACATGCCGGTTGCTCGACAAACCCGTTCGTCACGCCCGATCATCCTGCCCATCCAGTTCATCCTGCTCCTGCCCAACCGGTGAGTCTTCGACACCGACAGCAGCGATGAACTTCTGGGTGTTTTCCTCCGCCGTCCCATCCCGCGCCGTGTTCTCCATCACGAACGCGCGCCACGTCGGCATCAAGCGCTGCGCGCGCAGAATCTGGGCGACCGAGTTGTCGACACTGGGGAGAGGATGTCTCGGCCCGGACGCCCCGCGCGTGCGACCGTCGTCCGCGCGCACCAGCACTCCGTCGCGGTCAAAGTGACCTTGTCCGCCGTCGGTCCGCAAGACATTTTCGCGGGGAATCCAGGGCTGCCATTCGATGTCTTCCGGGACGTCCGGGATAGTGGTGTTGAGCGGGTTGAACCCTCGAACACGCATTTCATGGATTAGAAAAAGCGAGGGGAAGGGGGCGAGGGCGTCTTGAGGGTCGAGGGCGACAGCTTTGCCGTGGAATTCGTCAAGATCCTGTAATTGTCCGAGGTTTATGAGCACGTAGCGAGCACGCTGGTTCGAAATGCTTGGGAGGTATACGACTACAATCAGGAGGTCGAACGCACTGTGATGTCGCTGTGGGGTATGAAGCGGATAAAGAACATGTAGAAGTTGAATTGGTGGTGGTGGTTTGGGCATATCACGAAACCATTCCTCGGGTCGTGCTTCGCTGATGCTCTGGCAGTGGCGGGAAGCCACAGCCGTTGCCGGAGGCCTTGCCACTATTGAGAGCAGCATTAGAACTGAGAACGGTTGGGGCCCTCTGCGACTCACAGTCTCGTCTTCGCAGCCAGGAATTATGTGACTGATTTCTGGCACCGAACAAACCCCACATACGATGCAGTGTAGTTATCCCGTCTGTTGATGCCGGTCGTGAAAGCGGTGGAACTGGAGGTTTCAGAGCGGCGACGGTCGTCCTCTAGTGCATACTCAGGGGGAAGCTGTGCAAGAGGGACTGAAGGGGCCGTGATGAGGGGCATGACGGCGACGATGCAGAATGGGAGAAAGAAAAAACAAAGAGAGAGGAGGACAACCAGGCCCGTGTACTTAGGAGATATTTGCGTCTTTCCGCAAATGCAAGGCGTGGCAGTGAGACGTCGACGAGCGCTCAGCGGAGGCGATACTTGCGGCGGCCCGCCTCAGTCTGATCACAACACAAATAGGACTAAGCAACAGCCGCACCCCTAGGGCGCTCGTAGAAGATCTTTGCTGCCCCAGAGTTAGTGTACGGGGCAGAATAGATTTCGGACGATACTGCCGGCAGAAACGGCACAATGGCACTTGCCAAACATGGCGAAACACGGCAGAATCTAGACGCCCATTTGGCGGGCGAGGGAAGCGAGAGCGTGTACGTGTTCATGTAGCTACACTCCTAGCCCAGATATCATCTCTGCCACATCCCATTCGTCGTCATCGCCATCTCCGACAACGTTCAAGTCGTCCTCCAGAGGCTTGGGGACCACACCCTTGTCGACCCGATCCAACTCATCAAAGCTGTATACACTACCATCAAGAACTGCTGTGCCGGCCGGGAGATTGTCGCGCGCATCTGCGGCTGTACGCTCGAGCTCGTCCTCGAACTCCTTGAATGCACGGTCGAGCTCCTCCATGGGTATCTCCTCGGGTAGCTGCAAGGGATCCTCCTCGGCGCTGGTAGCCGCCAATGGTGGCACCCAGCTGAAGGTGCGCTCGAGCTCCTCGGTGAGCTGAATGTTTGATCCGATTTCAGTGCGCGTATGCATATGGGCATGCTTGCGATGCACCGGCTTGCCGTCTTCGATGTTGCGTGCTTGGAGGTGCATGTGAAGGTTTGTCCGGATCTTGCCAAGTTTCTCGAAAGTCTCGACATTTAGTCGACAGCGCCGAGCAGACTGAGTGCAACCAAGCCCCGAGAAGACTTTTTCGATCTCGGCAGCATGTGGGACGATAGTGTGGAGGGTGATTGCGAGGACCTTGAGAGGGTGTTTCTGTCCGTCGATGCGTGAGTTCCTCCACCATGTCAATGCGTCACGCTCTCCGCCATCAAACGGCTTCTCCCCCCGGTGATATGCTGCGAGGTCGGCCTGGAGAGCTTTCGCTTTGGCCTTGTTCCACTTCCACTTCTTCGCAATAGTTACCGCAGTGAGCTCCATCTGGTCGAATGTTCTCCCATTGGCGGCCTGGGAGATCGCAAGCCGTCGGCACATCGGATGGAGGTAGAGGGCGAGGCCGTGGTAGTTTGTGTCCATCTCGTGGAAGCGACGATTGAACACGATCTTCGCGTGGCCCCAGAAACCCTCGTCATCATCATCATTGAGGTCGAGCCTAGTCATAACCTGCGCGCAGCGGATGAGTTCGAGCATGCAGTCAGCTAGCCCAGAGTCTCGTGACTCGACATTCCCGATAGCATCAACGAGAGGCTTGGCGGTGCGTATGAGCTGGGAGAGATGTGGCCAGAAGTTGATATGGTCGAGAACGATTGTGCGAATGGTCGGGGGGATAGTCGAGAGGCCACCAACAGCGCGAATCGCACCTGGCCGCATGCAGAGGTCTACGAGCACTGCACTGTCGATGGGATGAGTATTACTGTCACCGCGAGAGTATGGATCACATTACAGGTACTGTTCGACACTCACACCATGCAGGATGAGGGAGTACCACCGAGTGTCACAGTGACGACGGAGCTTCCGGGTGATTCCTCGCCTTGCCGCCTCTTCAGCCAGCTGACCGCCCCAATAATGCGATGAATTGAAGAATGTGACGATCTGTGTGGCCTTCTTCACGACTTGCTTCATGAGTGGGTACGAAGAGATTTCGCCCACAATGGTGTTCAATCCGTGCAGGAAGCATGCGAAGAGCTGTCACAGCAGCATGGGTGTCACCATTTACCTCATGAAGGCCACTGCAACACGTACCAGAAGCCACTTGAACTTCTCACTTAGCTGGTTTCGAAACGCGCGCATGACAGTTGGGTTGTCCGTGGTGACAGCTACGAAGTTCTTCATTGTTCCAACCCCCATGTTCTCGGCGGCTCCCTGTGCAGTCTGAAGAAGTGTCGAAGCATCTCCTCGTTTCCCGGTGAGATCATCGAGACTGAGGATGACTGGATGCTGCCCAAGTTCTGCCGCAACAGTACCATATAGAGACCGCTTGAGGGCGTCTTCCCAGCCATCAAACAGCAGAGTTAGAAACTTGCGCTTCTGCAGCCGCTCCCGGTCCTCTATATCCACACGAGCGAACTCCTTGTCCAAGAGCTCATGAGATAGAACGTAAGGAGAAGCGGGCAGGTACGATGGGCGGATCTCCTTGACCCAGTCCTTGAAGTACCAGTTCGACGTGAGTCGGAACGCAACGTTGGAATAGACGACAGCGCTACCATGTGACGCGTTGATGTCAGACCAGTTAGTCATAGAAGCATGTTGATGACACACCGAAAGAGCTTGGTGTTCGCCCGCGCCTCCTGCTCCGACGTCATGGAATGGTCGAAAAAGCGCTCGAGTGCGCCAGTCTCCGTGCGCTGCCTCTTTGTACCCCGGACGGAGGAGGACTCGTTGGGGTCAACCGCAGTGGCAGAGTCCCCTTTGGCCAGTGGAGCTTCTTCAGTGGGACCATCCGAGGGAGTGGGACTCGACAGGGCATCGGGGAGAGTGACATCGGCGGCGTCAACCTTGTTGCCTTTGACGCGTAGGGCAAGAACAGCAACCCCGCGGACATTGGACGGAGTTTTTGAACACTTCTTGTATTCCGACAGGTGCTTGAGCAAGTTGTTGTCTCGCCCTTCAATGGTCTTCGAGCAGTGCTTGCATTTGAACCAGTGCCTGTTGGACTTGTTCTGGACTGCTGCGAGTTTCTCGAAGTTCTGCTCGACAATGGGGCTGAGCTTGCGGCCAGGCGCTGACATGAGAGTGAACAGACACAATACGGGCAGAGAGAAGCACCACGTCACTGCCCTCGGATCGCGCAGGCAGTCGGCGGTGACATTGACCGCGAGAAAATCGACCAAATATATTCTATAGGCGCTAGACATACTGCCATGTTCTGCCGTGAGCCCCCGGCGGCAGTATGGCATCTGCCGGTGGCAGATGGCGATCTGGCAGAACGGCAGAGTTCTGCCTCGCACACTACCCAGAGTGCGCAATCAACCTTAGTCCTTGTGCTTAACTATTCTGTCTCCATCTCGCACATGTCACCGTGTTATGCTCTCTGATAGTACACTCGTGTGATTGTCGCATCGTCGTACTAACCTAGCATAGTCTGACGGTTTCTATGGTCTGTCTTAGGCGTCACTGCGCTTCGCCCTTATACTAGAATAGCTTGTTCCTCATTGAACGCCGAACCACATCGCGGGGGCACATTGAGTGCAGCGCCCATTTCCCTCTCCTCGGCTGCCACGTTCAAAACCCGCTACTTCTATCTCTCTATCTCTCTCTCTCCTCGGCTTCCACCTGCCCTCCTCTCTGCTCTCTCGTCACCATATACGCGTCAATATGGCTCTACCCCTCTTCTTTGCATTACTGCGCACTCCTTTTCTCTCGGACATAGCATTCCTCGTAATCTCGGACCACCTGGGTACCGAAGGCGACTTCAAGACGTCCTGGAGGAATGCGGACCACGTTCGGGCTCTGGCCACGTGCGCGCTTGTCTGCAAAGAATGGCATAAACACACTATCCCCCACCTCTATCGAACTGTATACATACACTCTGATCGTGATATAGCTATCCTGCGGGACACACTGGAGTCATACAAGGACAGGTGCAAGCTAATCGCGGGGATCAATGCAGACATCGACAACCTGTACCCCTTCCTCACCTTGATCTACAAACTTCCGCAAGTAGAACACCTGGCACTGACTTTACATGAAGAGAGTTTCCTCTTGATCAACCCTCGCGTCTTGAGATCCTTCGGGGGGGCCGCTTTTCGTTCCATTCGCCATTTGGATCTGGCAGGGTGTCCTTTCAAAGATCTGGACGTATTTCTGCGACTATTTACCACCATTTCGACCCTTTCTTTCGATAATTCAACCAGATCGCCAACCCTTCCCCGATTCTTCATACCTCTGAATCGCCTAGTATCCATACATGGCCTAACAGTAAGTCCTAATACGTCGATAAATCATATATCGCACTGATGACCAGTAGATGAGCACCATGTGCGATCCAGTTGTTGTTAGGGGCATCCTTGAACAGTGTGGGCTTCGCCTCTCCACCATCAGAACTTTCACCGGCGGCGCGCGTACCCCCAACCTCGGGCGTTCGCAGGCACGCCCGCTACGGCGAGCATGCCGACCCGCTCCGCCAGTGCGAGAACGCAAGGCAGAGCGCGCGGGCAGCGGCATTTCGACGTCGACAGCCCTCTCGGAAACGGCGTGGAGGAAAGGTGGAGTCGCGAGGTCGCACATGCCCATGTTTCCGAACAGTGCGGGGGTGCCGAGACAGTTAGAGGTGTCCAGCCTTCACCATGCATGTCTATATGAACGAGTGCACGCGCGTGAGTGAACGTAAAAAGGTGGGAGTACGGATGACGCACAGGTGGCTGCGTTACACGGCGCCATGTCGGGGCAGATTGTCGTATATAGGAATGGGAGATGGTCGTTTCTCAGTATGTGCACCTTGCCCGCCGAAAGGAGAGTATTGATGATCCCATTCTGCGCGCCGCGGTGTCGCGCCCCATAAGGCAGTGGAAGCGACGGGAAAGTCCAAGAGTGTGAGCGGCGGTGGTGGGAAGGTGTGTAGACATTGGAGAGACCGAGGTAGAAGAATATCCTAAGGAAGTCCATAGGCGTCGCAGCGGGGGAAGTTGACAGTTGTTGGTTCCCGGAAAAGGGGACTTCGATTGACCATCGACGGGGTGGCTTCGCGCGATTGCCTAAACTCACTACCGCAGCGAAGGTCTACTCGCACCTTAGCATCTACTCACACAAGACGAAGACACAGACTGAACGTACTAGTTGAATGCATTGTCCAATGATTTCACCCTCCTACTCTTCGATCGCCCCCAGAGTCCAGCTTTCCGTGCTAATTAAAGCAGTCTCAGCCGCCAGTGCAGAAAGGAGTGGCCGACACCGACTTGAGGTATGGTGCATTGGAGGAAGGCCGAAGTAGGATACCACCGGGACCGCTAAGCCAATGCCAAGCGGCACATCTGGGTGGGTCTGAGTCTGCTGAATTGCGGTCCATAGATGGAAGACTATGACGCACCAGGATACCATGGGCCAAATCCTCTTCATGTCGATACCCCCTAGACGCCTTGTATCGGCTGGCGTTTACAACAACCACGGATCGGAAGAAGAGCCAGAGTGAAGAAGCTTCCGTTGGAAGAGGTAGAGGATGTCCGGCCCTGTATATATGCAAGGATAGAAGCGTCCGGGGGTAGAGAGAAACTGGTGTGGAGGAGGAGATGGCGTTGTCGACGAGCTGAGGCTCCCGAGTCCGATTATTCGCGGCGACCCGCGTCAGCCACAACACAAATAGGACCAAGCAACAGCCGTATCAAGATCTTCTCCATCTTTCGCCTCCATCTCGAATCCTCCGGCCCAGGTTCCAAAGGCAGCACCGAACTTCTCCATTCATACATAGCAGCCACGACTATAAATCCTCGCGTGGCGTCCCATTATCTCCGACATCCGCCTCTCGCCATCTTGTCCGCAATCATCCCTCACATCAATCATCATCCACACCTCGACGGCGAGGAACATGGCGACGCCCGTCGTCTTTGGCATGTCGTCATTCCCTCTGGTCACTGATGTCGCATTCCTCGTGATCGACTGCTTGGGTGACGAAGACGACTTCAAAATGCCCTGGGGGAAGCACACCACGTACGGGCTCTCGCCAACTGCGTCCTGGTTTGCAAAGACTGGCATCACCACGCTCTCCCACACCTTTATCGAACCGTCTACATACGCTCGGAGCGGGACATGGGTGTCCTTGAACATACATTAGAGCCGACGAAGGGCCAGGGCAAGCTTGTCGCGGGTATCAATGCAGATCTCTGCGACGGCGATCTGTATCGTTTTTTGAAGCTGGCCTGCCGCTGTAAGCTCTCGCAGCTGAGTCGCCTCTCGATGGACCTACAACGTCGCAGTTTTATGAAAGCCCCTAGCACCCTCTTACTAAGCTTTGGAAGAGTTTCTCTTCGACCCGTTCGACATCTTCATCTGGTACTCGAATCCCCAGAATACCTCCGTGTTGTACTGCCGATGTTCTCAACCCTCGACACGCTGGATCTAGGGGAACTGTCCTACGATTCGGGCTTCTTCAAAAATCTTTCTCCTCGCATCTCTGTGCCAAAGTTATCAGTGGGTTACCAATCGCTATTCGTACCCCTGTTTGACTAATTGTTCACATTCTCTTAAATAGATGCATGCGGATTATGGCGCATCAATGCCGAGGGAAATTCTTCTGTATTGTGGTTCGAGGGTCGAGCGGCTGGAACTCAAAATCAACGAATACTTTAAAGGTGAGAACAAACACTCATCCGTCACTTCTAAGTTCGTCAGACTGAATACACAAGCATCTACCACGAGTGATATCTGGAGTGCTCTGC